CATTCACGCATATACTTACAGGATCATCACAACATTTTCGTGAAAAGTCTTATTACAGAAAATATCGGATTTTCTGGGTTTTACAAACGACATAAACTATTTTACATCAAACATACTTATGAACTCACCAACGTTATATATGTTGACCGTTTTCAAAATAACTTGTATTCTCAGGTAACCGTTAGAACGAGGAAGCATCCATTGTGTTGAAAGTTTCTTTTGTAGTTGCTAATCATCAAACACTTTATATTTTGGGATCATGTAATGTAAACCATGTACTTGATGTAAACAATGCCAGTTGTACTATGTAGTTTTTGGTGATGAATGTGTTATGTTTAATGTATATTCATTGTGATGATATTTCAATTTAAGTCACGCGAGCCCTCGGACGTTTCCGCCGTCTGGTTCGGGGGTGTGACAACTGTTAACCTTGACTTTGACCAGGGTTGACCAAGGTTGAATTTGAGTGAATTTGTGGTATTTCGGGATTGTGACAAGTTAATCACATGATGATTATAGGCAATTGAGTTGGAGCAGTGTGTGGGATTTATCTGATCTTAGCTTGTCGGTTCAGCATTCGAGAGGTGAGTCTCCTCACCATACCAATGGGTCTAAGGCACCAAGGCCGACCCATTTTGTGATATGTGGTACACTTGTGAAGTAGAGATATGTGGTATGATAGTTAGCTATATGCTAAGTGGTATGCTAGTGATTATATGATACTTGCAGGGAAGACCATGGGGGGAGCCCATGGCACTTGGATATAAGACCATGTGGGGGAGCCCATGGCTTGTTAGTTAAAGACCATGGGGGAGCCCATGGCAGTCGAATGAAAGACCATGTGGGGGAGCCCATGGTTTGTCAGTTAAAGACCATGGGGGAGCCCATGGCACTTTAGTATAAGACCATGTGGGGGAGCCCATGGCATCCTTATATGTTTGTATGCATGGCTTATGTGATATATGTAGCTTCTATAGCTAATATGATATGTGGATTGTGGATTGTGTGTGGGGTATGCTCTGGGGAACTCACTAAGCATTAGCTTACAGTTTGTGGATTTGTTTCAGGTACATCTGAGCCCAAGGGCAAGGGCAAGGCTTGATGGCATGGCGTGCACTCTCTCTCAAGCGTTTTTATGGGACACTCTGATGTTTTGAAATAAAATTGTTATTGTTACGAATTTGAAAACAATTGTATTGAGATTTTATGGTTTATGGAAAAGTGTTTTGGCTAATTAAAAATGAAAAATTTCTATTGAAAATTGGGTCGTTACAAAAACAAACAAGAACCTATATGTGCATGCAACCCTAATTCTTAGATCTATGTTTTCTCTAATTGAACATCCAACTTTTGAATATCAAATGGAAAACCCTAGGAGATCTATATTATTTTTCGAAAATCATAACTATGGTTAATAAACATATGTTTGATTGTTATGTAATAATAACAATGAAAATCCAAGTCTTCTTGAACCTTGAGAGCAAGCGTCACAAGTGTCATGTCTCTAGTAGATCACACCCAAACTAAGCAAGAGGATGAGAGAGGAGAGGGGAGAGGGAGCTTGAGATTTTCGGCTATCCTTCTAGTGTTTCTAGGTGGCCCAAAAATGTGAAAGGGTAAGGTTCTTTATATAGGTGAGGTAGCTTAGAGCCAAAGCTAGGGTTTTAGGAGGAAACCCTAATCCCTTAGCTTAAGGATCAAGTAGCCCAAGAATCTACATCCAAGAGCCCTTGGACAAAAATTCTAGGGCCTTCCTAGAAGTTTTCGTCCAACCCTTTCTAGGGAGGTTTTGGAGCCTCTTTCCTCAACTATCAATAAATTGCTAAACAACCCCTACAATTTTAATTAGTTCAATTAATCCCAAAATTAATTCCAATTAATTTTTGATTAATTATTAATTAAATAATACGATTTCTAATTAATATATTATATTCATAATACATTAATAAATCAATTATCTTAATTTATTATTTAAATAATAAATTTAACCTCTCTCTAAAAGTCATCTTGTCTAGTTGCTAGTTTTGAGGGCAGCCCAAAAGGATTGTGCTACTATTAATTCAAGTATATACCAATTATAGTTATGGGCTAGACACATAATCCAACATCTTGGTCCCTGCTAAGATAAAAAAAAAGACTAAATTGCCCTTAATAAATATTTTCTAATATTCTTTTATTCTTTTCATATTATTAATAAATTAAAAATAAAAAAACTATTCAACAATGCCCTAAAAGCCTAAGCACGTTGTCGTCAACTCTTCCCCCTTCTACTTCACTACGTCTCTTATTCCACCTGCATCACCTCCAAACTATTGAAATCACCTGCATCACCTCCAAACTGTCGAAATCACCTCCATAGCCACCATCGACTGTTGATTTATCCCCTTATCCTTCTCATTCTTGCTATTTACCAGCAACATTGAAGAACATCCTGTAACCTTCCTTCTTTTCTGCCTTTTGCCCATCTTCGGTCTCGTATGCAGCCACCACCATCCACCCTTCATCCCTCTCCCTTTTCACAAATGTTTGCATCTCCTCCTTGGTCGATTACATCCTGAATTGTGTATTCGGTGAGCCTCGATTACAAGTCAAGAAAAAAATACAAGTCATGGACACCCTGTTTGAGTGAGAGCCACAAGAACAGTCATTAGCGATTTTTGAAATCGATGTTATCAAGAAATTGATTGTTGTTTCGGAAACCCCATATGATTTTTGGTTTTTATTTCATAGATCGATGGTCAGTTCCTTAGGATTGATTTTGATTTGATTTTGGAATCGAGATTTCCAAATCGTTTGTAAACTAATATCATAGAAATCAGTTGTTTTCCACCCTCGTTATGAAAAAAAACTCACCGAAAACTCTCCAAATAATCAAGCAAATGAGAAAGTTGACAAATTAAAAGCACAAAATAAATTGGTTATATGTTAGCAATCATCATGAGTGAATAACAAATGTCATGGATTACAAGAACCAAAGGTCAGAAATTACGATACATGAAGATGTCAATCTCGTGAGACGCAGTAGTAATCTGCCAATATATCTCCAGTGTATTGGAAACTAGAAATATACAAGAAAAGACTTATGAGTTCTGATTATTGAGTTATTGACTAGAATCTTCAAGAAAACTAGAAGTCCAACACAAACTGCATTACCAAACCGTTAATCTCAAGCACAAGAAAGAAAATCTAGGAAATACAAATGATTACATTTATGCCCTTCAAAGTAAAACCAATTGATATTAACTTGTTTGTAAGAATAGTTATTTGGTTTAAAGCCATCGACATCATATGTGCCTAATCAGAGAGTTGACATTACATTTTTCAGAAGAAAAAAAACAAAATTTAAGTATTCGATAGGCACCAATTCAACGAATATTCAACAAAATCTTTGATTGCAACAACAAAATAGGGTTAGAATCGAAATAAAATCTTAGACTGACATGAACAACAACAAACTTACCAGAGATTGGAGCAACTTTCTGCGAAATAAGAGGATTCAATGTTCTTTGTGATGGAGACGTGAAGGCAAAAGCGTGAAGAGGATACCAGATTGATGATGAATAAGACCTTGATGATTCCCAAGCCCAACTGGGTAAGTCGATGAACCACCGAAAATCTCGAATGGATCTCAACCCGATCCGAGCAAAAATTATGAAAGGAGACTACGGTGGTAGGGTGGAGGTGTTGGTGTTTGTGTTGCTGACGATGGTGCTGCTCAAAATTGTAATCTCGTATGGGTGTGCATCGTTGGGTTGGGGACGAAAGATATAGAAGAAAAGAAAGAGATGTGAGGAGATTAAGGCTGATCTTTTTTAGAAAGAGAAGATAATAAAAATATTTAATTTTTTGGGTACGGGAAAAAATGTTAAATTTTGGTAAATAGGGAAGTTGGAATTTTTTAGAAGTCTGAAAAAATTGAACTCCATCTAAATCGAAGTCCCTCCAAATCATGTTTTTAAAACGCTTATAATGATGTTTTTTATTTTTCTTTTATTGTTACAATTTTATAATTTTAGATATACATAAAAAATAAAACATGACTATAAAATAATTACATGTTTTATTTTTTAAATGTCATAATAAAATATTTACAGTCACATGTTATTTTTTATATTCAAAATCATTAATTTTAGATATAGATATAAAATTAAACTATCATCGTAAAACACTTATAGTTATATGTTTTTTTCAAACGTCATAATAAAATATTTATAGTCACAATGATCTACTGTGACTATTGGCTAGTATTTGTAACACTGTTTATATAAACAGTGACAAAATGTGTTAAAATAGTTTGCAATGGTGACGGTTTTTAACTATTATGTGATTAAAACACTACTAAATTTTGATTAATAAGCAAATTAACCACAACTATGAAAACCCTGTTTTCAAAAAGCATAATCATAAGTCATTTTTGTACTAATATTAGTCGTTACTACAAGTACCTATTCTTGTGCATGCCACGTGGCACACGTTAGGCGAACACGAAGCATATACTAAATGCACCCATCGTTATTTATTTTATTTATGGAAAGCCTTTTTTTTTACACGGCTTGTATATGGAAAGCTATTTCTATGCCCCATTTTAGTTTTTGCCCTAAAATACATTCCAAACTAGAAGGTTGGTGCTTGAATTTCTTCACTTTCAATATTTTTCCTTTTATATATATGCCTACATGGTGATCAACACAGACACATGCAAGAGCTGAGTTTCATTTGAAACGTGTCAATAAAAGTGAAAACAGTGTCGCTAAAACAATATTGCAGCCAAAAGTTGCAAACATTGGACAAGATATAAAGCACTGCTTCTTATGAACAATAAAAAATCCTGCACTTTATTTTTGAACAGAACATCACAAAATCCAGGTTACATAGTTTCTTATTCAATTAATTTTGCAGGGATTTAAGGGAAAAAAGAGTACACAGAAATCTTGATGGCAGTGTAACTTAGAGCTCACTACCAAACTAATTCAAATGAAAATAAAGAATCAATATTGAGGTTATATCAGAAAGTTACTACCTTGAGAGAACTGAGAAGATAACATCATCTCCACCAGATCCATCTCTTTTTTCCCATTTGACGAAGAACCAGAACCAGCACTTTGTTCAGCATCAAAAACCATGTCCCTCTTTGTATCTTTATGGTAGCCATAGTCGCTACAGTTAGACAATGTAGTGGCTCCTTCCAGAAGATAAGAGATGTAAACATCGGAAGCGAGTTGGTTTTTTGATGAATCTACTTTGTCCAAATATGAATCTGAGTTCTCATCATGAGGAATTGATGAAGATGAAGCAAACCCGTATTCTGATGTGCCAGTAAACCCAAGGGAAGTCAGGTCTAAAGTGGATTCTGGATTGAAGTGGACTGAGGACTCATTGGAGATTGATGAAGATGAACCAAACCCGTATTGAGAATTATCACTAAACCCTAAGGGATTAGCGTGTAAATAGGATTTTGGATCTTTAACGTAGATTGAGGACTGATTGGAGTTTGTGTTTGTGTCCTGTCTAATTGGGTTGCTATCTCCGAAAAAGCTTTGCATGAAAGTTAACTCATCGTCGTACGATTGTGTGATGTCTAGAGATGGAGAGTCATCAGAGTTTGAATTTGGCAGCTCAGTAAAAAGAACGTTGAATTTAATGGAAGGATCATCGGAGGAGATGGTGGTAGAACTTCCCGGGGTTGCAGCGACCATGGTGGTGGCAATGGAAGCTAGATTATGATCACTAGTATTAGTGGTCGCCGTACTTTTAATGTACTCTTGTAAAACAGAAGGTCGAGACTTGGTATTTTTGGTGTCGTTTTTCTTGCTCTTACGACGAGAATTTTGTCTCCTTTTTGTTGCATTCCAATGGTTCTTTATCGCGTTCTCTGTCCTTCCAGGAATTAATTTCGCAATTTCAGCCCATTTGTTGCCTACTTTTCGATGAGCTTCAACCATCTTTCTCTCTTCGTCTTCACTCCATGTATCTTTCTGCAAGCAAATGAAGTATGGTAATTAACATGCATATATGTTGTCAGGAACAAATCATAAGCAAAAAAGCATCCAATTCAACATCCTTTTGAATTAAAACCCTGATTTCAGATCTCAAACTTGTGTTATTGCCAAAGTTTGTCAATGAAAAAAAAAAAAAAAAAAAAAAAAATCACCCCAGCTTCAATTCCTAATTAAGGTTGGGTTTTTGGTGTCTTCAAGAAAGGGTTTTTTCCACTCTTGGTGGTAGCAAAACAAAATTAATGGATACAATGATAGAATGCTACATTACAAGTTAGAAGTCATTCACAGAAATATAATCATTCTTAACATATAGATCTTCATCGCTAATTAAGTGTGCGAATATTCATTAAAAAAAAAACTAGAGATGAATAAACTCATATCCATAAAGAATGTCTCTTCAAGATTCATGACAAAGAAAACAAAAAGTTATTATTTTGGTTGAAAATTAGGGTTTGACAAGAAGAAACAAATTAAGTGGACGTAATAAAATTAGGGTTTTATCTGATGAGAAACTGAAAAGATCATAATCTGATAAAATATACACCAAATCCACAGTTCTTAGATCGTATTTGAGTCATCCATCACAAGTATTAGGTTATCGAGTACTATTTTTGGGAACTTGTGAGATGAAATAAATCATATGCAGATTAATTAGATGAAATGAAAAACCTTGATATCAGGGCGCAAATGATTATGCCATCGCTCACGACACTGTTTCCCAGCTCTACCCGTCATTTGCTCAGCGATGTGAGCCCATTTCCGAACTCCATGTTGTTTCACCAGCCTAAGAAGTTTCCTACACACAAAAGGGAGAAAAATGTTTGAAGTTCATGCATGAAAAATTAGAGTATGTATAATTAGAGCAAAGAACATGAATTTTTTTTAACCTGTCTTCTTCATCTGTCCATTGTCCCTTGATCAAACACTTACGACCACAGCCTTTCGATTTCATCTTCTTACCAGATTTGATTACTTCGTTGTTAAGTTCTATGTTTCGATAGCTTTTTGAAAAAGCACCACGATCAGGAGCCAATATCTTTTCCATGGAAAAACATGGTACTAATGGAACTTCACATTCATCATACAAGCCACCGATCCCTCCATCAGAATACGAAGAAAATCCACAAACCCCATTTGAAGGGATGAATGTTTCTTTGTTCGTCTCAAAGTTCTGATGAGAAAAATGGTTTTCAAGACTTTGACCCTGCAAGAACCTACCAATGGCTGTCAACGGAGGAGGAACATGCTGATGTTTATGTAAATTCACATAATTAGGAAAGCCACCACCATGCCCACCACCTTCCATACGCTTCAAGAAATTTTTCTTTATACAAAGGAAATAGCTTAGATCAAGGGTAGTGGTAGTTTTGGTGTTTTTTCCTTCTTTTTCTTCTTCTTCTTTCTAACAAAACTCCATAAATATGGTTACAGAAGGTATAAGTATCCTTTTCCCTGTAACGAGAGCCATTGGATCAGAGTCAATCCAACGGGCTGAAAATCCTTTGTGAATATAACCCCCTAAGCTTCCTCTCTAGAACAAATTACATAAGTCGCTCTAATCAATTTACTTTTCATTAAATGATAGTAATTATTGAGGAGAGGGTATTGGGGAGAACATTAAGCCTTGATTCAATTTCTTGAATTATTTTTCTTTTTTACTTATTCAATTACCAATTGCATGCTAATCATGTATAATCAATCTAGGATGTACGTATATAAGCTCCAAACTATGTGAATCCTTACATTTCTAGTTTTCTACATTTGCATTGTAGAAAATGTTATTGTGTTAGTGTGTAAGCTTTGAGTTAATGAGGTTTTCAATCAAATGCTATTATACGATTAAATGGGTGGCCGAGATATATGGTATAAGAGACTGCAGGTACGTACGTAAAACTTAAAAACAAGAGGTTCTGTGTTTGACACCTCTAAGTAATAAAAGGAGTTTTGCATGATTCAAATGGGTTTGGTGATGGATGCAATCATTGTTAATTTAGTAATTAAGCTAAAAACTTTTTAGAAGATCAAATTAACTAAAGAACTGACTTGACGATTTGATCCTTATATTTTCTAAGCGACTAACATAATAAATGGGTAAGTAAGAACAAAAATGACCCTCCATTGGCCCTTACTATTTTTATTGACTAGACGAAAGGAATGTTAATGCCTTGTATGGAAATAATATTTTGTAGTTAAATTATGGACAAAATTGCAAAAAAAAATGGTTTTTTGGTTGTCAAAAATATATGTTTTTAGTTCAAAAAAGTTAATGATACATTAGTGGTCCAATTTCAGATATTTTATATGGTTTTAGTCCCTATGGTTGACATTTTATTGTGGTTTTAGTCCATACACAACCTAAAATGATGAATATGCATTTCAATAAATTTTTTTAAATTTCTTTTAATTGTTTTTTATTTTTTTAATTAAAAAACCAAAAAAAGAATTCTCACCCACCCCACCCTACCTGCCCACCCCAGTCATATCTCTCTCTCTC